ACTGCAAAAGTAAGACACTTGTGTGCATCTCTTGATCCATTAGTGTCATGCAATGAGGAGATGAGGGAATCTTAGGCTGCGTGGTTTAGGTCTGGATATTTAGGCATGTAGCATATAAATCATTGCAACCTAGGTAGTGAAACAGAAATTAGCTGTCTAAATTAGGTGACCCAAGATTTTGTTCATTACTATACGTATTGAGGACGTATAATTTGTGTTCCTCTCCAGTTATAAAACTGACAATAACATACACTGTGCTTTCCAATGATAATATGCTGAACAACTGTTACTGAGTATTGCATCCCATGACAGCCTAAATCTGTGACAGAAATCCTACAAGATCACACAGCATACATTAGCATTATGTAGATAGATTTACACCTCCTAGAGTCACAGCCACATTCTACAGAGCAAGAAACTAGAGTTTTATTTTTGACTTATTTTTGCTTTGCTTGTGGTAGATGTAGGCAGCCCTCACAAAACCATGTAACTCCTGATACACTCCTAATATACTGTACCTCTTAGTACACCTAGCTAGTGGTACATTAAAACACAACAGCCTAAGAGAAAGATTCTTATTACTTAGCTGTTTAGCTACTACCATCTTGTAGAGTAGAATAGGATGCACTGGTTTAAAGTGACTGAAGACGAATATTCACACTTAAGTTGACACTCTGAGCTTAACTAATTCTAGTTTTTCCAAAGTGCTGTAAAACATGTAATGTAATTAAAAACTAGGTTTGGAATTGTCTTGATTTTACATCTTTAAATATCTAGTCCCTTATTCCTTACCATATAAACATTACAATCTCTTAAGAATCCAATCATTTTCACTACTATGAAAACCACATCATATAATCCTTTTTCTAAATCATATAGGTTTTTCACCCTCATTATTTTGATTAGAAACCTATTAAAGAATGTCACCAGTTGACACTCAGTTTTTACAATTCTACTGTGTATTTAATATATAGACAGATTATAAGCATTTGTTTCTGTGTGCCACATATTCCTTTATCTTAAGCAGCTCTTTCCTCTTCCCTCCCTTCCTGCCCATCCTCCAGGCCCTAACACTAGATATCAAACAAACCAAAGTAATTTTACATTTCATCTCCATTTTCTTGACCATTCCAGTGGTGCAAGACCTAACTGGGAATTCAATTTCTTGAACATGACTAACCAAAACTGAACAAGCCTCAGATACAGTCTTTTGCAATGGCATTAACATTTCCCTGTTTGACTGGGAATACTTGATCTGATATATCCAAGGACTTAATTTGATTTTTTTAACAGCTGTACTGTATTGGTAGCTCTTAGTTCTCCTATGATTTGTGAGTATCCCAAAATTCTTTTCTTCAATTGCTTCTAACTGATAATGCCACCGTTTCTAGTCTGGGTTACTAGTCTCAAAGCACCTAATCATTCTGTATCCTTGAATTTCATCCCAGTCTTTTACACAACTTCTTTAGCCAACCAGTTCTTCTCTGCTGTGTCAGCGTATTCCTAATACATTAAAATTCCATTTTAGCCTACATGAAAACATAACATTAAGTCTGTAGGATGAGACCAACGTCAGTTGCTCTCAGATCATCTCTTCTTCCAGCCAGAAGGTTCCTGCTAAGCCAGAAGACAACCATCAGCTATGGATGCACAGACAGGCTTCCTCCCTGCTGCTCAGCCTGAGCTTTTTATAAAACAGAACACAAAGTACATTACAAATTCCAGTCGAGTGGTATGAGTCACCATCAGTAGCAATTTTGACCACTGAGGGAACTCCCTAATTCTGCAATATCTACTGCCATCTCCCTTCTAGGTAGATCCTAGTACTTTTTACAATTCCGATATCAATCCATGTCTTTATTAAACTGTCATGTAGCTGTAATTCCTATTTAGTGAATTTAATCAGAACTTTAATATTAAATTAATCAGACCTATTAATAAAAACAGTATTCACCAGGGTAATGCTGGGAAAATTAAGCAGAACTAGGATCCTCTTGTATGAAACATAAGGCAATACTTCTAAAGCAAACAAGATAAAAAAAAAAAAGAGAAAATAGAATAAAATGAAGATACTGCAACAGGAATGTGGTGTCCCATTGACTAGTCAGGTGTTTAATCATTTTTTTACATAATACAGACTGGTCTAAATAAGAGTGAAATAGATATTAGTAAATTAGAGTAATAGTAGAAAATTCTATTTAGTTTCTCTCTAGCCATTAGCCCAATTACCTTTTGCTTTCTACCTCTCCTTTTCAATAATTTTGCTCCTCAAGCAACCCTATGTTTTTGAAGTCAAATACAATTGTAAAAATGCTACAAAATTGTCAGCTAATTGAAACAGGAAAATTAACAAAAAACAAAGACTAAGACATCCCACTGCTCACTCTAGGACCTATTATTTTGTCTCTAATACAGCTCCAAGCGGTTAAACCTGGACCTCTACAAATTAGTTAGCACAGTATATAACCAAATTTTTATATATTTGGGATTTTTTAGGCAAAATTGAACTGGTTTAGTTTTACAAGAGCCCTGGAAGTAACACTCTAATAACACCTACATATTACTTTGTGTTTAAAGAAAAAACCTGAAAACTCCTGAAAATATTTCAGCATGAAAATCAACTCTTTATTTTAATCAATCATGAAAGTACTAAATTATTTCTGGGAAACTGTTATTGTACCTTAAACCTCTCTCCCTAATTAATTTCTTGGTATACTCACATAAATGTGATTACAGTGGTGCCCCCATAACTGTCTTGCATACACTAGTCAAAAACCCCACTTTTTATTATCACCACTTGAGCTAGTATGGTTTCTAAATTTCTAAAAGGAACACATTTTTTCTTGAACAGGATTGGTACAGAATGCACTCAAGCATAGGAAAAACCTTTATGGATTGTTTAAGCATCCATGTGAGAAAAATGGAAATCTGAACAAATTCATGTAAATAAAATTATTAAAATCATCTAACAAAAATCACAGCGGCAGCAAGGTAATGCAGAAGTAAATGTTAAAACATCACCAATGACCAACTCCAGATTTAATTACTGTCGATGGGCTCAGTAGGCTGTGCAGCTTACAGTCACATCAATGTGCACAGGGAGGATAAGCAGCAAATTCTCACGTTTGCTGTTTACTGAGGAAGACATCTTCCTGTATCCTTGGAGGAAGAAAAATGGTAATGAAAATTAAAGAAAAGCACTGCAAAAATTTAGCAAAAGTTACAAGCATCTACTACAATAAACATCTATGATTTTCTGGGAAGATATTATTGTTTGTCTTTGACTTCAAACCCTCTCCGCTGCAAAAGTCCTTGAACATTTCTGATGTTTTGTCTGATAGGGGGCAGATACTGATGCAATCAAGTGGCATATCAAGGTATTTTGAAAGAATTCTTAAAAAACGTTCACAACTCTTGCAAGAAAATGACACAACAAAATGTAGCAACGGCACATGAAAAGAATTACAGTGCTTTGCTTCATGCCTAATACATAAAAATCCTTTAATTCCATTTTATTTCTTTTTACAGTAAGAAGACATTTTTCCACTTTCACAGAAACAAATTAGGAAATTATGCTTGATTTTTTTTGCCAAAATTCAATGTTGGATAGACACAATTCTCAAGGAACTGTGATAGCTGGAAGGTGTATGGAGCTTACCTACACAAAGCTCCATGTTCCAAACAACATTGCTTTGGCTATTCCATATATGTAGCTTTTGAGATATCAAGCTCAGATCATCTAAAGCAAAATTACAATGCTGCCAGATTTCATGGCACTCAGAACATTGTTTTTTCATGATCTCCCCACCTCTGAAGTTACACAGCTACCCAATTATTAAATTTCACTTCCAGATGATAGAGAAAAATGAAAGATGTACCCAATCTATCTGAAAGATGTAGAAAACAGAAGAATGATGCAATGAAGTGCATTTTTTTTTAAGACATGACTTTTAAACCAATTTTGTTCCAGGCTTGGCTCGTATTTTTTAATGTTTGAAGCACTGACTGATTGCCGGAGTTAAGACTCAGACTGAATGACAGTTCAGACACAATATGCCCCAACAATGTGTGTTGTTATAGTAAAGGCAATGTCACGCTCAGGATGATCTCCTTCTTTATTTCATATTGACCTCTTCCTCCAATGCCCTTCCAGATTCTCTAAAAGCCACTAGTAGCCTTCCCTTTCTTTCATTTCATTCCTTACAAAGCCAGGATTAGGACAGTCATGGCCTATGGTCTTCATCTGGCCACCTGCCCCCATGCCTCCCCACTGAATTTCTTCTCCCGCTCCCCACTGCCTCCAGCCACCCCCCCCGCATCTGCTCAGAGCCGACAGACAGGTTGAGCAACCCCCTTCGCTGTCCCTCCAGGACAACCCCACCGGTGCTCTGAGCACCCCAGCCCAAAAATGAGGGTACAGCGATTCCCCAGGAGTTGGCAGCTCAGCCCCCGCACCCTTCGGCCTGTAGCGACTTTCCACCCGACAGCAGGTGGGCCCACCGCCCTCCAGTCTCAGAGATACAAACCCCGGGGCGGGGTGGGGCAAGTGGGGTTGGAAAGAGGCACGGGTGATACTGTGGCCTCGCCGAAATACCTGTCACCCTACAATTTTATTACTTTTCATACAAGGGATTGTAGCAGGTGTGGGGAGGCAGAGACGAGTGGACCTCTTTAACACGGCCCCATCCCTGCCCCCAGAGACGCCCACCTGTGCATGCGCTACCAGCCAAGCGGCGTAACTAACCGTGTTGGAAAACGCTGACCAGGAAAGGCCCCGCGGCGGGTGGGGATGAGAAAGACCGCCCCCCCCCCCCCCCCCCCCCGGCTCCTCCGCCCACGGCCTCACACACGGCGGTGGCCGGCGGGCGGGCCGGGGGGGGTGGGGAGGCAGGGGGACGTGCGTGAGGGGCGAGGCGGCGGCCCCCGCGCCCGGCGGGCCCCGGCCTCTCGCCAGGCCGGCCGCCACCCCACCCCCTCCTCCACCCCTCGCCCGGCGATACCTGCCCGGCGTGCGGGGCCGCGGCCGGCGGCGCGGCCGGCTCCCCGATCCACAGCTGCTCTTTGAGGAGGTGCTGGTAGCTGAGGCAATGCTTCAGCGCCGACGGCACCGTGCCCATGGCGGGGCGCTCGCCGGGCGCCCGGCAGCCAGCCGCAGGCTCGGCGCGGCCTCGCCCGGCCCGGCCCGCGGGGACGCCGCCGCCGGCTCCGAGCGGCGCCGGTGATTGGCGGAGCGCGGGAGCCCGCCGCGCCCCCCTCCCCTCGGCCCGCCGCCGCTCCCCGCTCCCCGCTGAGGGCGGCCGCCGGAGCGGGGGCGGCCCGGCGGGGGCTGCCCGCGTTTGGTGCGGGTGTGGCCGGCGCCGCGGCAGCCTGCCATTGCGGGGCGTGGGGAGTGGGGGGGGGGGGGGTGTGTGTGTGTGAAAACGACCCCTGAGGAAACTCGGGGAGCCGGCGGGGGTGGGGGGGGCTTGCCCCGTAGCTCCCCACTTAAATTTCCGCTGTCGGTGGTTTTGGCAGAAGAGCTTGAGGGGAAAGAGGAGAAGGGGCAGCGCAGCTTCCGGGGCCCTCTGTGGGATCCTGGGGCTGCGCAAACGGTAAAACCTGTCCCGCTCACTCGGCCGTTCAGGTGGCAGCAGGTCCTTGACAGGAGGCTTCATGAGCACGCTGGCATTTATGTTTTTCATTCGGGTAGCAGAAGCTTAGAACATAGTAAATTGAATACTTTTAAGGTTTTAACAGCTCTCTCGGAAGCAGCAGGTTACATTTTGTCATCTTCAGCGTTCAGTGTGTCAGCCAACTCCCCAGACTACTCTAGAGCAGAGAGTAGTGTATGCACTGGAAATGGTTTCTGGATCATTCATTTGTTAAATGATAATGTCAGTTTTTCAGAAATAAAATATTTTAAATGCAATTTTAAAATTTATTTTAAAATATCACTGGTGGGCATGTCTGCAGTTTCAAATCTGGCCACAGAAAAGTGCCAGCAGGTTTCTCAACTGACTGATCTGAGGCAGTTGGTATCTTTTCTCTCTTCTTCCACTAAAGTATTTGTGAATTCAAAATTATTTTTTCACAGTTCAAAATTCCCCTAAGTTTCCATTAAATGATGCCTCTGGGTACTTTGGTCTTGTTACCTGGAAACCTTGGGATAAAATGTACAAAGGCTGGCCAAAAAAACAAGCCTTTCTCTTCTCTCTCCCAGTGAGAGACAGTTTGTCTATGATGTGCTTGGTACATGTGAAGAGAAAAGTACTTTACTGAGGTAAATAATTTCATTTTGCATTTTTCTATACATTTCATAGCAAGATGGAAATCGGGTGGAAAACGCAATCGTGTGTTCTCAAGTTACTGCAGTCCTGAAGTCAAACTTCATATTGCCTTTAATCATCTTTCTTACAAATACCTCTGAAATTAGATTCATTATAACCCTCTGCAGGTAGCTTAGCTGTCAAACTGCTGTGTTCTCCACATTAAATCCCTTCTAATCGCTTTCCTTCTTTGTCCGTCACTGTTATTAGAAACATAACTATAAAACATAATGCAGAAGTGAATGCCATTTTTGTAGGGTTTAAAGCTTCAGCATGCTCTTCCAGCTTAAGTCCACTGTGAATGTTTTCTGGCACAAACCTGCTTTAAGACTCAGAGTGCCACCGAATATGCTAAAAAGGAATATCTTTATCTGAAATCCCAGTGCTGTGGGCAGAGAACGAAAATATAACAGTGATACATTATAAAATAATCCCAAATAAATTGGGTTTTCATGCAACAGTTTCTCACGTTTTTTTTTTGTTGTTGTTGTACCTCTCATTTTCCCTGAAATCAGAATTTGATTTTCACCCTTGCCAATTTAGCACTGAATTTTTCAACCAGTGCTTCTAATTCCGTGTAAGCAGTTGTTTCAAAATGAAGAGATGTATAAGTAAAAGACATTCATTTGAAACTCCCATGTTTCTTGGGAGAAGGACATGATAATTTATCTATCAGAAGAGCAGTGTGTGTTAAAAGTTTTAGAGCTAAACCAAATTGTTATTCCTAAACAAGAGTAACGTGGGACAGCACAGTGTGAGAGTACCTCCAAGAAGAGCGTGTCTCAGGCGGGCGTAGTCATGCCAATACAGTTCTTTGCTTGCAGGGGCTACAAAACTCATTCCACCCCACTTTGCAAGTTAACATGAAGGTAGATATGGTACAATATACTGTTTAACCTTGTCTGCTTTCACTGGTGGTACCAGTATATGTAATGATAGCAGCATTTGCAAAACCATGTAAAGAATAATGGTGACTTCTGGCGGATCTTTCTCTAACAGCCCATGGGCTTCTTATGATCTGGACCCTTACATGCCCTGTGCTGTTCCTTATTTTGATTCTTCGTATTTTTTGTTCAACAATGGCATTTTGGAGTAACTTCAGTTTACTAGAACATGTGGAAGGTCTCAGATGTGTTTTGTGCTACATCAGGATAGTGACTAGAAATTGCACATGACTGGCTTTTGGCTTTCCATCTCTCTCTTAAAACTATTTATCATTCTGATGCTCCTCTGAATTTATCATTGTCATTGGCTCATACTGTATTCTGGTCAAAGGTTTTAAAACATTTATCAAAATAAATGCTTTTCACTCAAATAAATAATCTCTCATTAAAGTAATGCCACCGAGCCTACCAGATGGGGAGAACAGGCAAATTTGTGTAATTTGCAGAGAAACTTCAAATATTACCGTGAGAGATGTTTCTGTGCTCCTTATTGTTCCCATGCAATTACACAGGTAGTCAGCAGTCAGATCATTAGGAGTGGAAACATTCAGCTGTTGGATTTCCTGCAGTGTGACACAAAACCTTGGCCAAGAAAGACATGGTAAAAATAGGTTGATCGTTTACAAGCATCTATAAGAAAATAAGAAAGTTGTTTAAAGAGTGATTTGATGACAGCAAGAAGGACAGAATCAGAAGCAAGGGAGCTATTCATACTGCTGATAATTGTAAGTGCCAAACTGGCAAGCAGCCAAGGTGCCTACTAGGCAGGGATCAAAGACACATATGGTGAGTCTCAAACAACAAATAAGCCATAGAATTCTGGCAAGCATTGCAGGAATAATATGCTCCAGCCCTGACAGAGAAGATGAGGGCTAAAGAAAAAACAATGGGGCTACCAATAGTGAATCATACCTCAGGGAAAGCAAAGCTTTCATCATTTCAGTTTTACTGGAGAAAAATGCAGATAACTTCTCACATATGGTAGGTCTGGTTGATCTAAATTGATGGGAAGTGTAACACAATGTTAAAAAAGATTCTTTACAGTTGTGGCAGTAAATCAGTGTTCCATTAGCAGCGGCATCATTCAGAGACGGCATTCTTCAGAGAGTTAGTAATAGATTCACTTTGCCAAAGTAAGACTACACCCCAGGTGATAGACACCTGGCATTTGAAACAGACACAATCAAGAAGAAAGTCCAAGTTACGTCTTGCCAGATGTTGGATCCTGTTCTTTTCTATTATTTCACTAATTCAGGCAGATGGCAGGGGTTTTTTTCCAACTATATCGCCGTGCAAAACACGCAAACAAAAAACCTGAAACATCTGAATTTTATTCTCATACTACTGGACAGCATTAAATAGGAAAAGAAGGAAATTCTGTGACTTAGGTTCATAATCACAACAGATATACACTTATACACAGAGTTGTAAAAGAAAGGGATGTATCATAAGCTTGTTATTTTATATTTATAAAGGGAACTGCCTTTTACACTGGTGAGAATGGTAACCCACAGCCCTTTGAGTGATCTCCAAAGTACCAGCACTACATAGCAACATACAACTGTTACGGCGCATACCAAAGACAGCAAAGAATTGCAGCAGAAGGTGCTTATTTACTAATAACATCTTCCATTTGAGATGTTTCCATAACTGACAAAAATGCTGATGAATCAAATGTGTCCCCTGTCTGGTTCCATCAGTTAGACTGTAATTTCTTCATCTCAGTGACCTGACCTACGACTCGGCATTGTCAGGAGAAACCATGGGCCAATTTCTGAATGGATTTTCAAGGTGCTATTGTGATATTTAAGATATTATGATATTTAATGATCTTTCCTTTTCAGAGAAAATATTTTACCTACTGTTACACAGACTATATTTCCATCTCTGTTTTCCACATAAATGCAGTTAGTATCTCCCTTTCCTCTCCACCCAGTCTTTTCTGCCAGTAAATACTGATGTGATTTGTTATATGGATTATAAGCTGCGATATGCAGTACCCTCAGATTTCTTTCCTCCCTTTACGTTTTTAAGAGCCAACGAAATAGTATTGATTGTCAGTGGGGGCAGTTTTCTTGCTCTTCCAACAAGTGAGCCCTTTACATCGTATAATACAAAGAGAAACTATAAATCATCCTTAGGAAATATTTACTGAATAAGGAGATGCTGGGACAACTTTAATGCTATACCCCTTTCTTCTCAAATAGAGAGCATTTGATTATCAGAGTTTAGCCAAAATGGCCCAAAATAACCACTTGGCAAGGATAGCTGCACAGCATTCTGGGCATAGTGCTCTCCCAACCAAAAAACAGTTAAAAGACCTGCAGCTTCTCTGTGTTCTCTTAGGGAGCAATTCTGATTTATTTCAAACATGTAGTATCAAATGAACAATATTCTAATATATGCATTCGTCTCCCCGATGACTCTGGAGAGCCTAGGGTAATTACTCAGATGTAGATGGCTTCATTAGCTACATTTACTCAAATGAGTCCCATTCCAACTGACGTTATTAAGTCCACTACATCATCGCTGCATTCAACTCTATACATGATTTCTACCTGTGCAGACAAGGAAAGTCTCATACCAGTATACTTGGCAAACTTGTTGCCGACTTCAGAGAAAAAGTCACCAAGGAAGCTGGAAGTGGACTGAAAGGGAAGGTATAAATGAAATGCAATCTATAAAAATGAATATATAATCTCGTTGTATACTGCAGAAAATTTCTGTCTGTTAAAGGTTATGTTGTGATAACTTTGAGGCAAGTAGATAAAGAGAAAACTGGAAAGTGTGTCCCTCTGGCAGATGAAGGTGCAGTTTCAGCATTAAGAGGAGGGAAGAAGATGGAGAGGAACTGGAGTGTTTCTGGGAAGCCCAGATAGTCCAAGGAACTGCCTATTTATGCATTGAAATCACAAGAAAAATAGAGATCGATTAGTTTCTAGCTTGCTCATTGGTGAATTTATTTCAAAACCTGGGATCTAA